TGCGTCAAGAGCTGCTTGCAAGCAAGAGCGCCAGTTGAGCGCCTTCCTCTCAAGAGTCCAAACTTGGGAATGTAAGGCGGAACATTCGATTGTACAGCTGTTGGCGTGTACGGTGTCACGCAACCGGAAACGGACCCTGCCAGCCTGGCTGGCACATCTTCCATCCATCTGACATGTACCGGAACCTGAGTCGACCGGAACCATAGACTGCTTCGAAGCCTCGTTCCGCCCAAGTTGGGAGCGGAACGGATGACAAGGGGTGTTCTTACGCGCGCGTCGTTTTCGGATCTTATATCAGGAGAACGTTGTCACCTACTCAGGCTACCGTTGTTAGTAAAAGGCGACTTAGGTAAGTACAAGCGCAGCCAAGTTCCTCAATGCAGGCAACAGGAATTGCAAAATGCACGAAGGAGGAAGGTGGATCATAGTGGGATTTCAACATGCGCCATCCTGTCATGATTGCATTTTCCTTTCACTTTTCGTCCTTCTGGAGAATGAGGCGACAGACTCAGAATGAAGCGGTCAACCGGCTTACAAAGGTTTGATCAGCTGCGTAGCTTCAGGACGTGGTTTGTTGCATAACATTTCGAGCTGACTGCAGAGAGGCTGCATAGGAGCTCTCTGGCTGTAATCAGCAGTCTCTGATCAGCTATAATCTAGTAATTTGTTGGTTGACAAGCATTCAAATCGCATGCAGCATAAATCTATGGCGGCTATCACTACATAGTAACGTGACTGGGCCTCTATTCAGAATCACGATGCAAGGTAAGATGAAAAGCTAGGATCTCACAGCTCTGTCGACTATCTAAGAGCTAAGCATGAGTGCAGCCAAGCCTGCAGCGGGCGCGGCCGCCAAGCCCGCCACCCCTGCAGGTGATAAGAGGCCTGGCAGCTCTGCTGGAGCTAAGGGGGCGAAGGCTGCCCCTGGGAAGGGAAAAGCTGGGGACAAGGGTGCAAATGGAGACGCGCCGGTGGCAGGAATGCTACTCAGGGAGGAGGACAAGGTGGGGCGCTGAACACTTTAAACCATTGCAGTTTTCGTCAAGCTTTCTAGAGATCTGTTCCACTTGAACATACTAGCGAACGGTCAAGTTGAAAGGTTTCAGGGTGATAAAGATGATCAAAAGTGTAGACAGCATAGGGCAGCTCAGCGCTGCCAGTCAACCAATACAGTCTGTGACAGACATGAAGCCACTCACTCCACCTCATTGCACCATCGAATATGCTCAGAAGATAATGTGAACCGCACTTTTGGCATTGTTACCCTAGCGCAGTTTGGCGCCACCGATTTTGATTCAGGGCCGAAAGAAATGGGGCAGATTGCGCCTTTAAAGAAGCGAACCTTTTGTTTGACAATCCCTGGAACCTTTACAACTTTGGGTCGCAGCTCAGAGATTGGTTCAGTCTTCTCTTATTGTAGTCTCTAGCAATTCCACAAAAAGAATGCTGTCCAGGCAGACTTGTCTGAAAGCGACAAGGCTACATGCAATCTTTTTACAAATCTATGAGCAACAGCAAGTACACTGGCCTAATTGCTGCACTTGGTGGTGCAAACATGAAGCTCAACTTTTACAGGTCTTTGAGTTATACTTACCATCCCATTTTTGGCATTTGATTCGTTGGCCCCAAAGTTGAGCCATCAGATGCCCTTCCATCATTGATCTGCATTTAGAACCTAAGTGGCAAGTTTGGGGCAAAGAGCTGTGTGCGCTCAGCTTGTAAATCTTGTGTTTTCAGGCAGGATTTAGTGACCGACTGTGTTGGTTGTCTATTACTACGAACGATATCAGACACCAGTATGATGCTCGTACAGGTCTAATCCGAAACTCACACGCCTTTGCTTCAAGTCTTCGTTCCACATAACACCTACGGAGTGCTAACGTGCACAATGAAGCACCCTCGCATTGGAGCCCGAAAGCAACTAATGCAAAGAATTCAAAGTCCTTCTGTTCCTTACAATGAAGTCGAACACATTGCACACCACTTTTGATGTAGGAGCCCGCCCCAAAGTTCCCCATCACCTGGCACGCCTACGGAGTCGTCGTGGAGGCTGCCTGGTCGGACGTCCGCCTCGACGCGGCTGCTCTGCGCGCCTCGTTGTTGGCCGAGGGCACGCCCGAATGGACCATCTGCGAAGCAGATGCCATCGCAATGGCCGAAGAGGTAAGCCGACCGTCTCAACCATGTACGTCCAGTTCACCAATGCTTCTTGCATTACGAGTACTGAATGCTTATTGGTGCCGTGCATCTGGTCGCGGTAAGGCACGATCCGTAGGTTAAGGAGGGGCTCGAGACACAAAAAACTATGGAGATTGATGAATTTGTGTGACCACTTCAGGCCTTACCTGACATCCTTGTTATAGCCATAGAAAAAACTCCGACAGCAGTCCGAGACAGAAGTCCCTCACAGGGTCCCCGTTTCTAGCCTCACTACGCAACAGTACATACCTAAATTACGACTTGCTTGCAGATTGCTACGGATCCGGACAGTACGTTGGGAGGCCTCGTCCGAAATGCGAAGGAGTCCGAAGCAGCGTCCGACAAGCCCTGGCTCCAGCCCGACGTGGCTGCTCGATTGCTGGCAGGTGAGGTACATGTCGAAGGTCGCTTGAAGGTGTGGGATCGCTTGCTTGAAGCGCCTACAAGAGACGTTGGACATGAAGCTGGAGATTTTGGCTGGGCCACAGCTACGAGCAAACCGTGCTACAAGTTCTGAAGTGTTTCAATTTCAAGAAGATCCAACAGAATCTTTGCCTCTTCTCTTTTTCCCCTCTCTTGAATCCCCCTTTAATCTTTACCTTTTCTTTCTGTCGGCCCACCCTCGGCTTCTACTTCTTCCGATTTACAACTCTTCTGAGGAATAAAAGCGGAATCTCATGATCTATGTGCCCGGAGAGTAAAGTCGTCACGGTCCGTCCCCATAAAAAGAGTGTCTACACCAATCTGCAGCCCGAATGGAACTGGACAAGGGTCGGGCTCATCGCGCCGAGGCCAAGCGACGGTCCGTAGCGATCGAGACCGCAAACGAGACCGTTGTTCAGGCCAAGGCGGTGGCGTCAGCCGCGAGCGAGAAGCTGACTTCAGCGAAGGCCGAGCTTAACAGCGCGAAGGAAGCGCACGCGGCGCTCGTGGCGAGGTTTAAGGCCCAGGCCGAGCCCGCCAAGGAGCCGGAAGAGGTGAGACCCCCAGTTAGCACCGGGTTTGGACTGCAGCTGCGAGTTGGGTTAGCGACTCTTTTGGGACATCAAAATACCAGGTTAGCCCCTGGACAATTCTGTGACCATTTGGGGTGAAGTCACACTGGGTTGATGCGAGAATTCGAGTGCGTCGTAAGTGCGGTGGTTGGACTGAACGATACTGATGCTTTCTAAATCATTGAAAGAGATTTTGAAAGTGGCGAAGTGCTAGCAAACGCTCGCATGACAAATTTTGTCAAGGCCAAGCTTCTGGAGTACGGTCTGGCCAGTTGCATCGAGGTCGCTCCGATCTGGGCCGTCGTTGGTTCCTGTCCATGAATCGGACGGCCCACACTTGAGATTGGCCCGCATCGAGCAGTCGGCGCAAGGCGGTCAGACTTGACGAAGTATGTCCAACATTTGACCCTGTCAAACTATGACATAGCTGGGCTGGCCGGTCCCCTATTGCTGAGGTATACTAGGTTCAAGCGAGGACTAAGACTCGGAGCGGGCCCGGAGCGGACTCGGGATTCATTATGGACATAAACACTGGCTGTGGACTATGATCAACCGATGGTCATCCGCTTTCCTCCGACTCAAGGAGATGGGTTGGCTCAAGCACGTGGCTTTACTTGGACATGCGCCCTGGAAGTACATACCTGGTACCCCTTTCAAGTGAAGCACAACCTATCCTGCGTGTCCGTCGATTAGAGATATGAGGCTGTTGGGAACCTGAGCGACTTTTGGTCGATATCAGATCCTTTTTGCCCTCTTTCCAGCTGCAAGAAGGTCGCGGGCGTTCCAGCACAGTCGCCACAAGCAGCCCTTCCAAAGAGGCCCTAGCAGCCGCAGGAAAAGCGGATCCGAAGGCGAAGGCGGCCGCGGCAAAACCCGCGGCGAAACCCCCAACCCCTGCCGGCAAAACAAAGCCGGGCGCGAAGGCGGATGAGCCAGCGCTGCTGACGCAGGATGACGTGGACAGCAGCAAAGCTGCCGCAGCCGCGGCCGACGCGGCGGTAATGGCGGCCAGCAAGGAGCTGCGGGTGGGTGTCGCTCTAGTTACAGTGTCAGAGCATCCTGGAGTGGACGCAGAAATCGATGGAGAAATAGTTTGTGAAAGAAAGAGCATTTGGATTGCTTCAAGAAGCTGTAGCGTATGTACGAAAGAGTTTCGTCATAGTTCAGCGCCTATTCGAAGGAAGATTATACTTTAGCTACGTGCTCATTTACAGAAAGTGTCTCATTTTACGTTGTAATCTTCTTACGAAGTGTAGCTTTTGCCAGATCGACTTTCGAAGACAGGCCGAAATAGGGTCGAAATAAGGTTCGACAATCTACAGCACCCTCGATGTTGACATATTCATTGGAAAGAGTAAGAGGTAAAGGAGGGAAGATGCCAAATCCAGCAGAAGGTCTCAAAAGTAGTTAAATGGAAACGCGCGTCAGTCGAGTGATACTAGCTTGTTTTGCGCAGGCGAACCAGCTGAATGGACTGGATGGTGAAGGCCGTCCAGACACGCAAAGTAGAAGGAGAAGTAGAAGTAGAATATGGAAATGAGAAGTCCAAGCAGATACCTGGACGCTGATCGACGAAAGAACCCCGTGGAGTTATGAATATTACTGAACGCAACCAATCCCTCTGTCTTTCGCAGGCAGCTCAGCTGAAGGTAAAGGAGGCCGAAGAAAAGCTCCGGCAAGCGCAGGCGGCGCTCGAGGCGCCTTTCGCGGCGACGTGGGTCTACTGGTGCTCCAACTTCGGGGCCGACGCGCAGGGTTTAGCCGCGGCCGCGGCCGCGGGGTCGCCACTCCGCGCGCTCCTCCACCTGAAGGAGAGCATCGAACCCGATGCGTCGAAAGCGCTTGGCTCTGGGGTCGCACCAGGTGATTCGACTAGCGGGAATGCTGACGTCAGCGGTACTGCCGAGCCGGATCTTGTGAAGGGATTTAGGGGTCTGGTTGCGGCATCGACTCTCGACATGCCCGCGAGGCAGATCGCGCTGGTCGAGTGCGAGTTCAAGAGACCGAAAGTAGAATCAGGCGAAGGGGGAGCCGCGGGCGCTACAGACCTTGGTACCAATTCTAAAGAGGTGCAGAAGGGCGACGAGAAGAAGCCCAACTCACGCCCTGGAACGGCAGCCAAGGGCGGTGATAAAAAGCCTCCAAAAGGGGGGGACAAAAAGGCTGACAAAAAGGGTGGGGAGGACGAAATCGTGGAGGATCTCGGCCCGGCCGCCGCGGCGGAGGCGCTAGGGGCGGCGGCGCATAAGGTGGCAGACCAGGCCATAGCGTATGAGGAGTACCAAGCGCGTACGAAGGTCGTCAATGTCCGGCCGGCGGCTGCTGACGTGGACATGCGTCACTACCAGCAGTTGCTCGCGGACGTTCCGAAGGCTGACGTCACGGTACCAGTGATGCTGCACTGCATGCTGGAGCAGGTACGCAATCCGGTTCGTTCAAAGCGATGGGCCTTCTCGTTGTTTCTACTGTCAAAATATGGTGGCGACTCTGCAGTCTTAAACCTTGTTTGAACACTCTTCTGTCCTAATGAAGGTATTGCTGGGTTCTGCGCTTTGCTCCGCGCGACTTGCGAAACCGACCTGTGAGAAAAGCGGGGTATATCCTTGTATGAAGACCTGAAAGCTGCTCTGAGAAACTTTGGAAAAACAGCACTTGACGTGCTCATACTCGCGAAATCGTCTATCCAGCGGAATCCGCAAATCTCAGCTTCAACGGACCCGCTTTTCTCCTTGTAGATCGTCCGTAGGAATTGCACTCCCCTCGACCTTGCGAAGAAGAGACTTCGCGCAATCTTTCTATCCACCAAAACCTGCTTATTCAAAAAGTGAAGCGACCCGCTTTCCTCCTTGAAGATCGTCTGTTGGGATTGCACTTCCCTCGACCTACTCGCGAAAGTCTATTTTACCGAAACCCGCAAATCTAGCTTCACCTCAGCAATTTCCTTGTAGATTGTCCGTGGGCTTTGCACTCCCCTCGACCTGCGCGAAGAAGAGACCTCGCGCGCTGCGGACGAGGCGGCCGCGTATCTTGACGCTGCGTTCGGACGCCTGGGCTTGATCCAAACCCCACGGATACCGCCGGCTGACGTCACTTCTTCGTCAGCGTCTGGCATCACGTCTTCTTCAAAATCAGAAGCTGAGGCTGGGCCGCTTGAGCATTCAAACGTTCGATCCGACGCACGGGCACCGACCGAAACCGGAGCTCCTCTATGTGAAGCGCTGGATTCGTTGGAGGGCAGAAGCGGGCAATCAGGACCATTGGATGCGGCCGGAAGTTCAAACACTCAACCAGGACCGTCCGATTCCTTCCCCTTCGGAGTGAACCAGGGGCAGGCTAGAGAAGGCTCCAACGGAGAGGTCGGGAAAGGAACACAGGAGTCGGGGGTCGCTACTGGGGAGTCTCTGCAGGCGGCAGATAGGCTTTGGCCGACTGCTCTAGAATCGCCCAAAGAAGCATCGGCAGTCGTTCCGACCGAAGCCAACGGAATACCGGAACGGCCCGGCCAAGAGCCGGGTGCAAGTGTTAATGAAGAGAGTGGAACGGATACAGCGCGAACGGAGCGTAGTGGAGAGGAACGGACGGGTATTCCCAAGGGCCGGACAAGAAAGGGTGTGGGTAACGGGACGGGGTTAGAAAGGGGTTACGGGAAGGCTGTGGTAAGAGAGGGCGACGGTACGGCTGGGTTGCTGTCGGAACGTCCGGGACCGTTGGACGTGGTCGCCGTCGAGAAGTCAATGCGGGACTTGTTAGAGCTACCAGGTGAGAGAAGACCATCATTAGCAAACTGGTTGTCGTGAAGCATGAAAGGCAGGGTGTGAGAGGATGAAGCGAGAAGACTGTTCAACGCGAGCAGTCTGATTTAAGCGATAAGTCTGATTGACGCGAGCAATATGATCAACGCGAAAAGTCTGATTCCGCTACGCCACAGAGGACTTTCAAGAAGTACTGCATGAAGGCGCTGGTAATTTGTCCTGCAGAACAACGAACCAGATTGCTAGATCTGACAGCCCGTGTGATTTGCAGTCCAGATTGATTCGAACACTTCCAATGAGCCTCCAGGTTGTGCTTCGAAGTTTCTGCTCGCAACGAAACAACATTGTATCTTGAAAACCTACACAGCGTTCAAGAGGCGGTGGGCACTAAGCGTTGCCATGCTGCTATTCCCTTTTTCCCTCTCTTTTTCTTTTTCAGTTTCCCATCCCGAACATCCATCCATTGATTGTTTAATTCTGCCACTTTCTTCCGCAATTAAAACATCTGTCTTCTGCCGTTCACAGGGAGAAAGCGCTCGTGGATGCCGGCAGTTCCGCTCCTGTCCGAGGTCCGGCGGAACGTCGACGCGACGGCGCTCCGGGCGCACTGCGGCCAGGGCGCGACGATCGCCGACGTGCAGCGCTTTCAGCGGATGGTAAGAACCCTCGTCGGCAAACGACAAGTACGAATTGTCTAAAATCAACTGCCAGCAGAAACCACTAAGCTTCGTTTAGATATCAGGTCCGTTTCAACGTGTGCCCTGAAATATAACCGACGCAGTCGCAGAAGGGAGGCTGAAACTCTGAGGCAAACGGAAGGATCAACAAGACACGTGTTTTGTGACATTACTTGGATGTTAACTGATGCTTGAATCCGCGCACGTCTTCATGGAGCGAACCCAATAATGAGTTTCCCTCTGAGATCATCTCTGTTCTTGCAATCAGCCGGAAATGCAGCGTGTCTTTCGTGAGCAACTCAAGACTGCCATCCATGAATTGCTTTCGACTTTGTCAGGAATTTAAATCTCCAGGAGTCCGTGGATTTAAAGGTGACTGCAAACGAGAGGGCCAATAAAGGCGCCAGCGACCGTGACGCTGCGACCGTGGTGCTGACTGAGGGAGCGCAGCGCTGAGCCAGGTGGACAACGCTCGTCATGGACACGTGTCAATCTCACGAAGCCCCTGATACCGTAAATTCCTGAAAACACTAGAAGTAGCGCTTGAAGTGCTCAAGCTTTGCATCTCTACTTGCAGAACGCAATCTCTGCTCTCGAAGGCGACCCCGAGACATCCCAGTCTCTCTTCGGCCGACGGCATCTGGAAACACTCTCGGCAGACAGCCTGGCACAGGAGTGGTGTAAATCGGCCCTCAGCCTTCAGTCCGTCGACGTCTCCTACTACCCTCGCGAGGATTCTCTGCTCGTCCGACTCAGCGAAGACAGCGGTAACGCTGAGTGGGCACTTCCCGTGGAACGTTACATGCCTTTCGGCGACTTTTTCGTGGCGGGAACTGCCAGCGGGCTGCAGAATGCGTATACTCTTGAGCCGCGGGAGAGCGTCATGAAAGGCTTCCGGAACTCCGTTGCTTCCGGAGCGGAAGGCGTGCTCTGTGCGAGGGTGTCGGAGGGGATATGCGATGACGGGCGGGCGGAGATTAGCGCTTATGTAGATGGGCACGTGCTGGGCGTGCGCTCTTTGCTTAATGTCGGGGCGGAAAGTGAAAAGACAAAAACAGGTGGCTCAGTTTTGGTCCACGCGTCAGCAAACAAGCCGGGTGTATCTGGGCCTGACGAAATCCGCGGATCGCCTCAATCTGCTGACGGAGCTGCCGAACCTGCAAATACAGCGGACTCAGGCTCTGGCGAGAAAAGTGAAAGTGCAAAAGATGAGAGCGAACAAAGTTACAGTAATCTGAACAATAAGAGCACAGAAGGCCCTGTGAAGAGCCGGTTCGTAGGGAGCATGGAAGACGGTTCAGTAGTTTGTGCGGTGAGCGAAGAGGGAGGAAGAACAAGGGTGCAGCTGACAGGGCCTTCTGGAGAAGTCGTGGAGATGACGTCAGCGGGGGTCGTCACCATGTTTGACGCAGAGAAGATGGAGAGGGAGCGGAGAGAAGGAGCGGAGCGGAAGCGGAAAGAGGCGGAAAAGGTTGCTGAGGCGAAACGGAAGAAAGCGGAAGCGAAAGCGTCGAAGGAAGCGGAAGCAATCGCAGCGGAACCGGAAACGAAGGGGGGGAAGGGGGCGGAAAAGGAGCGGCCCGGAACCGCAAAGGGGAAGCCGGCGGCGGCTAAACCTGGAACCCCTTCTAAGGCCGACGCGACGACGAAGAAGGAGGCAAATGCGAAGGCGGGGAAGGGCGCAAAAGAAGCCGTTCCGGCGGAAAAGACCGTTCTGCCGGAGACTGCCGCCGAAGTCCCACAGGCTGAGGCGCCCCCAACAGAAGAGACAGCGGAACGAAAACCAGCGCCGGAAAGAAAGGTTGAAATTGGGGACTCGGAAGAAGCACTGACGGAGATCGCAAGGGGTGTGACGTCATCTGGCGTCGTGGTGCGCGTTTTGAAGGGCGGCGGGATGCAGGTGCTGTACCTAGACGGAAAAATAGCGGAACGGAACGCACTGGGCGGAACGGAGAGCCACTGGGTTGTGACGAATAACTCAGGGGAGAGGACGGCAGTGTATGACTTGGCGCCGGAACCCCAACCGGGATTTCCGGCGGCAAATGCGGAAGAGGTAAAGGCTGCGGAAGCTTCCGCAGCGGAAGCGGTTGCTGTAGCTGCGGAACCAGCGGAAAAGAAGCCGAGCGGAAAGGAAGAGAGGGCGAAGACACCGGGGGACAAGAAAGCCGGGGCGAAGGGAAAGGAGGGAACGGCTAAGAGTGCGAGTAAAGCGACGCCGAGAGATGCGAAGCCCCTAGCGGAATCTGCGGAAGCAGTGACTGCGCCGGAGCCGGCGCCCGCAGAAAGTGCCCCCCCCGTATCTTTCCCTGAGGAGAAAAAGCCGAGGCTTCCAAGACTGGAGAAACTGTCGAGCATCCGGGTTGTGGAGGTAACCGACCCCGAAACCGGGGTTAGGGTGGTAACCCGGGAAGACTTGACCATGGTGATAATCTCCCCTGACGGAGAGCAACGGGTTATGCACACCGTGGACGGCACGAGAATAAGCAGCAGCGGTGAGAATTGGCAGGTTGAGAAGGAGGGCTTTGCGACGGTGCGAGGTAAAACGGGAACCGGGGTCAGCGTGGAGATGGGCCAATCGTGGCGCGCCACGTGGGCGCAATCGGACGGCGGAATCGTGCTGAGGAAGCGGGGGGTGGGGGCCGTGAGCGTGCTGGGTACGAAAGTGACGTACGCATCAGAGAGGGATAACGAGGGCTTTGCGGAGGGGGATGAGTGTGGGGAATACGTCTTCGATCTGGTGAGCCGTAGGAAGAATTCTGTACTTCGTATTTTTTCTGGATGAGGCACGCGGCACGGGAGGCTCGTGGAACTTTGCGACTCCGATCAAGACATCAATCATTCTTCAGAGAAGCAAAATCAGCACGAGTTGCAAATGATCTCCAAGATCCAAACGCGTTGTGACGGGCGCTAAATTCGCAAGTGCTTTGACGCTCGTCTTTTGCATGTGATCGATTTTTTCCAGGCTCTGAACTTAATTTGGTTGCTTCTCTGTTGCAAGTAAAAGCATCTTCTAATCCTATGCACGTGCTGTTTGCCTGCTGCAATCATGCCCTGACATAAGATTTCCGTGGTTCCATACCTTGCATGAAATTTCTGAATTCTTCGTCCCTGCAGGTTTCCGGTTCCGTCGAGTCCCGCCCCTTCAACGGACCGCCAATCAAAATCGACGCCAGTGGATTCATCGACAGAGCCGATCAAAGATCTCCCTCGTGCCACGTGGCGCATTCACGGGTGTTCTGCGTCCGGGAAGAGGGCCACGGCTACGAGCTCCTGGACTCCGGAGCGTTCGAAAAGTATCGGCGGCGAAAGCTGCGGGACGAGAGTTGTACGACGCTGACAGAGCCGGTGCTTGGCAGGTGGGCGATCGGGGAATGGAAAACGTGGCAAGGCCTTGACGATGTTTCAGCAACCAAAATTGCGCGTTCTTCATGCCTGGATAACCTCAAGCTTTCCTCATGGGGACCCTCATGTTTCTTGTTCAACGTCTGCCAGTTCTCGTCTATCCGTCGTCCTTTGTCCGTGTACAAGTCGCTCTTTCTATTCAAAAGAGAAGATCACGACTGTCTCCTAAAACTCCGGTTCTTCTGCCGGTCTGGAAAGGGCCTGCCTCGCGCTGAAACATTGTCGTGCATATTCAAGATTCTAAACAATACTGTCAGTCCGTAGAAATACTTCCATGTCTAAGAAGTTGGAATGAGCCACACACTTTACATCTAGGTATTATTTTCAGAATAAAATAAAAGTAAAGCTTATCTCTTGTAAGCTCTGAAGGCAAACTAAGTCTTGTTCATCGTTCCCGCAGCCAAGAGAACGCAGTCGCGCACATTTTCCTGACGCGGCCGCAGTCAAACCCACAAACCCCGAGCCCCGCGCCGCGGCCCGCTCGCGCGACGCGTCCCGCGACCGCGTGCAAAGCCCTCCCCGCCCTCGCCCTCCCTTCCAAGTCACGGATTATTCCCAGCCAAGAGCGTTTCGGCACCGGAACGGAGAGCGCCGGAAACGGAACAGAAGTTTCGCAGAGCGGAACGGAAAGCGGTGTGAGCGTCGAGGGGCGGTGGCTGTGGGCGGACCCCGCGCCACTCCCCATCCCGCGCATCGCCGCGCGCGCGCCTAAACCCCTAAACCCCCCTGCGCCCCCGCGCGTCGTCCTTTTCCGTCAGATCGTCGAGCTGCCAGCATTGGACGGCGCGAAACGCGCGGCCATAGAGGCGTTCCTATCAAGATACGACACGTGGCAGAAGGAGACAGCGGAGAAGGAGGCGAGCTTCCAGACGGAGGAGGATCCGCGCGCGGCGGAAGAGGTCGCGCGTGCGGACGCGCTCGTCGAGCGGGTGATGCGCGCGCGCGCGGAGGTGGAAGGTGCCCGCGCTGAAGCGGCGCGCGCGGAGGAGGAGGCGGCGCGCGCGGCGGATCTCCTGCGGAGGAGGGAGGAGTGCGCGCGCGAGGAGGAGGAGAGGCGTGTTGCGGAGGTGAGCAACTAGTAGAGGGACAGTTTCGACTTGAAAATGCTTTCACCCCGTCGTAGGACGTGAGCAATTGGGGACTCTACGCAATCATATTGAGAACCGTGGCAATGCGAACCTTTAGAGCGCCTGATCACAGCAATCTCTTGACATTCCTGGGCAAATGATTGAACAAATCCCTTTTGAAAGTTATTAGACCCCAGAGTAAGTGTTCTTGGTGGTATGTGTTCAAAACAAAAATTTGAACACATAAAATCCTGCAATTGCATCCATGAGTAGCATAGATTAAAGAAACCCGGATGGTAGCGACGCGTCTGCTTTCCTTCCGTTTCAGGGATTAGCGCGGCGGACGGAAGCAGAAGCCGCGAAGGCCCGAGCGCTCGAGGCCAAGAGAGGGCACGGAGTGCCCTGTATCCATGACGAGAAGCCCCTCGTCGAAGCGACGGTGAGAATACTCCCTGCAATGTACTTCAACTTGTTATACTTCAACTTGCTCCACCGTCTGACATCGGCTCTGATCAATTATTCCTATGCGACATCTTTCGTCGATTTGAGCACGCGTCTGATGTATTATTGACGATATATATGTAAATGTTCACAGCAGATATGTAGCTCAAAGAGGCACGAGTTGGTGAGCCGTCTGCGATTGCCGATGCATTCTTTATTCGAGCCCTCATGCGAATGGGTATCTTCATACCAAATCTTATCAAAGTTCAGTACGATCTGGACATTCATTTGCGACGACATTTTTGCCCAGTGCGTCCAACTACCTCCCTTAAATGCCATTCTGTGTCTTTTGCCCTCCCTTTTGAAGCTCCGAATGAAGGCTTCCGTATACCAACCTTCCTTTTCCTGACTCATTCAGCAGTGTCTCAGTCCGCCGGTATCAGGGAACAGGCTCCGCTACTTCCTTAGCCGTCCCTGTCCTTTCGTTCCGTTCCGCAGGGCCCCAGTGACCCGGTACCAGACGCCAAGGCTCTGCTATTTCCTTAGCCGTCTTTTAACCAACGTTCCGTTTTCGCTCCTTTTCCGCAGGGCCCCAGCCGGCCGGAACCGAGGACCACGCTCCGCTACTTTGACAGCGAGGAAGGGATCCAAGCGGCGCTTACCTACAAACTCCAGGACACACCTTCCGTAAGATCTCCGCAGACCGTTGATACACAACCGCATCTCAATGTCGTTGAGCGCGCCTACTATGTTTCTTGCTGCCACCGCGGTTGCTTAGCTGTTCAAACGCAAATTCGGCTCAATCAAATTTAGCATTTGCTGGTATAGAAGCGTTCCTTCGTGAAGATGGGTCTAGGCCAACGAAAAAGGTTGTTAAGTCAGGAAGCTGGGAGTGGGTCCCTGTGTTCCACGTGGGTCCCTGTGTTCCACGACTCATTGGCGGCTTCTGACTTGAAATAAATACCGGTACAGATCACGGAGAGGCGAGGATTGATTCCGACGGAGAACGATCACTCAAATTGTTGCGCTCACCCCACATATTTCTTGTACCAAAACCACTAGGCTAAGGAGAACTGAAAAAAGACTGCGCGAAGTGTGCCGTAGCAAGTTCCAATCACTTTCGTCAAAGTTGGAAGAGAAGTTTCACGTTCTCTGAGCAATTCCTGTGTTTTGCTATGGCTTTCAGGGCGCAAGCCATTCTCTCCCTCGGCAAACAAGCCCCACGCGCCGGACAACTCGCCAGCCTTCGCCTCTGAGGGCGACACGTGTCGCGACTCGAGAAGAGGGACACAGTTTTTCACGTGAGGTCTCGGCAATCAACAAAGGAGCGAACAGTGCGTCAGCGGAAGCGGACTCCACGAGACAGATCGGCGCAAGCGAATCGGCGGTGAGCGTGGATGTAGCGAGATCAGTTTCCGCCGGAACGAGCAGTTCCGCCGGAATGGGCGACTTTCCGGAGAGCGTCACCTCTCTCGGGACTCTGGAGTCTTCCCCCGTGACCGACAGTTCCGCCGGAAACCTGCGTTCGGTGAGCGGAATGGAACGCAGAGAGGGCGGAAGCCGAGGGACGTCAACGGACGTGTATGGTGCGGACAGCTCCAGTAGGTTCGGAAAGAGCTCGATCGGCTCACCCGAGAAAACGTCGACGCTCCTTGACGTCACGGGGCGGCCGCGCAAGACGCCGGTGTCGCCTCCGAAGTCGATTCTGAGGTGATCCTGAAAACGACCTCTATTTCTGCATCGACACCTGTCAGCTACGCAGGCTTTTATCATTCCTGGCACGCGCCCACAATGTCGGACGGCCCAGAGTGATCTTGCGGATTCTGTAGAGCTGGATAGCGCACGGATCTTTCCGTGAGTAAAGGTCCGTAACCTTTTACGTAAAAATTGGCATGGAGATGGAGACACCCTGGGATCTGTATGAGATGAAGTGCGGTAGAAGGCGTAAAGCTTCGACGATGAGGATTTGCCACTTTTTAGCTTTGCGTGTGTGGGTTTCTTCTACTAATCCGCACGAAGCACGCACAGATTCCCATCACTTTCATCACTTCGAGTACCTCCGCAAAGACACCATCCGCTAAACTCACAACGCAAATGCGGTTTCGGATGATCAAAAATGAGTCAAACGCCTCCGTCGAATTTTTACGCCCCACACGAAGATGAGCGGTTTCGATTCTGATTTTGCGATTCTAAATAGTATCTGCCACACAGAAACGAAGCATTTGCGGCCCCGAACGAGCGGTTCCTCGAGGTCGAGGCGCCCGTCAAGCGGGTAATACGGACCACGTCCACCGTGGGGGAGACCAAGAAGCTCTTGGCTTCCGGCGGCGAAAGTTTGGCCCGGTCGGGACAGCTGTCGCCCGTGAAGCAATTTACGCTCACGCCGGAGGAGGTGGACTTTGGACGAGTGAAAATTGGCGACACGGCCCGGCAGGTGCGACGTCAGCACTTCCTAGTTCCGCGCTTACGGGTATCGTCATGCAGCGTCGCTCATTCTGCCCTTGTCAGAAAATGTTTCATAATCCTACCTTTGCGTCGAACATTGGAGCTCTTTCGAATCATGTCAGTCCGCTGTTCAGCTGTTTGCACGGACTGGCGCAGCCGCAGCCTTGCACCGGATCAGCGCAGTCCACTGGTGATAAACATCATGGCTACACAAACGTTTGACAGTGGACTGAAGACTTCGGTTGCATTTGCGCAGGCACTCACACTGCAAAACGTCTATTCGGACGTTGGACGGTACAAAATCCGCCCGTTGGACGCGCCGTTCAGAGTAGCCCACAAACCCGGCCCGGCAAGATCACCTCCTCAAACTTTGAAAAGCTTTTGATACTAAAGCAACTATAGGCGACCTACTCTACAGTCTTTCTTCATTGTCTTATTGTTCGCTCAATTGAGTGCGCAGCAGTGGGCCTTTGGTTTTTTAGGAAATTAAACCTCAGCAAGCGCCCGGCCGCTCTCATTGATTGAAATCTCAGACCCAAGCAGCATGAAGAACTGGAGAGATCCGACCCGCTGTTCTCTTTGAAAAGCGCCGAGCAACGATGTCTGGATTGTCGGTAGAGGCTGATGAGACGAGTTTTCAAACCTGCTCAAACAGTTAGAATGTCTTCAACTGCCATTACGTCTGCAAAGCCTCTACTCTGACGCCCATGCCTATCATGCCACGTCTTCGAGTGGAAAGTCACACATTCAACATCGTCTCAATTTGATACGCCTGACAGCACAAGGAGAAAGTACAAAAGACTGAAAAGTCTAGAGCATTCAACTTCGACGACGTATACGACATGGCAACCGAAGTCGGGTCCATCAGCCTGTTACGGACTGGAAAGTCTTCTGCAATTTCAGATTTGACATTGTGTATCTCAGAACGAGAACGAAAGGTGCTCACATGAAACGCGGCCCGGGACCGCTGGGAAGCAATTGGTGAGATAAGACCAATTTCCTAGTTGTCACTGCTCTGAACCGTGTCCCTTCTGTCCTAGGCAGGTGGCCCCGGGCATGGCTGTGAAGATCGAAATTGCATTCGCGCCCACCACGCCAGTTGCGTGTGAGACGCAGCTGGAGGTCGTGACGGAGTTCAACCGCTTTCTGGTGCGCATCTCCGGAACCGGAACCGGAACTACATCTTGAGTGCGAAGCGGTCCTGTTGTGAGTAGGTGGCAGTATCGAGATAGACGACACGTATCGACCGATATACCTGCCTGGGATAAGCGTCCGATGGAAACTGTATAATGTGCGGGCTTAGATATAGACAACTCTGAGCGACAGGGCGGCTTGTAGGAATCGGTTGCTCGGTACTTAACAGACCGGTTCGTGACCCAGTTAAGATGGAGAGGTCTTACCTTTAAGAAGTGAATCAACTGAGATTCTCCTGATCCCGTCCTAATGCGTTGAAGAACAACAGAGTGGGTAAAGGTTTGATGCTAGCTGATGGCATGACGGTCAACCGCACATGGCTCATGACCAATCCGGTTTAACGTTTGGCTGAGAGGACAGCTAGCTATCATCAGTTTGCATGACTCAAGGCATGCCTATCGCATATGCATGATTCTCATGTATCCATGCATGCCATGATGAGTAACGGCTCATGCAAAAGGGTCTACTATCTTTGGTGGCGCGTCTACGTCCTTCGGTTTACTCAGCGATTCTCCTTTATTTTTCACGCCAATTACGTGAAGTCCACAATAGTACTTAGCCAAGGCGGTTCTCTTGCTTGGGAGACGGCCTGAATGCACATACAGAGAGGCAGTTCCGTGATCAAATTACACCTACGTCTGCATGGGACACGTACGTTCTTCCAGCTTGATTGAGAAGTGCAAGGAGTTATGGTGCTAAGTACGTAACTTTGCATACAGAGCTTTGATTTTCACTCACAGTTACGTCAAGTGGGAGAAGCTGCACTGCCAACATAAGTCGAGCAAGACAAGACCGCCTCACGCTAGGTTCTTAAGTCAGTGAGTAATGAATTGGTGAACCACGCGAACGTTTGATGTCCGGCCCATGGGGATCCAGGTTCTTAGTGATAATCCAGTTTCATGATCCAAATACAGCTGAAATCCTAGGCCGAACCGTCCGATTCGATCGAATAGAAGGCCCGAGTCGTCGATCGTGAATTTCAGCGTGCCATTTTTAAATCTTTATAAGAGGACTGTGCAAGGAAGCTGGTGGCCTTCTGACGTCAGTGATCCGCGCGCAGGAACGGCAGACTCAAACTTGCAGTGCAGGCTCAGTCTTGAGCTCAGAGAAGCTCAAACACACATTTTTCAAGAAACAGATCTTAGAGCATCTGTGCTCGAACCGCGGGTCGATCGAATCTCAACCAAGTCGATTCATGCAGACCCGCAGAACAATATCTGCGCACCTAGCTATATCCATGCCTCATCCATGCTGATCCAACCGGCGGCAAGTTTGAGTCGAGACAAACTTAGGCAACGTGTATAGAAACGGGCAATTTTATGACATGTGGTCTCTTTTAGATCGACGCGCTGTCATAGCTGATCACTTTGAGGCCAGAGGCTTCCGATCGTGGCACACACATATTAATTGACTTTGTGGAACTGTCCGACAGCTTTGACAATGTTCTTTTATCCTACCCTAGGCTACGGAACCCTATGCAGGTAACTACTGTCCAAAACTCAACGTGTCAACGGTCGCTTTTGGTGGAATAAAGATCTCGAAAGCTGGCTGCGTCAACTGATAAACTGTAAGACCAGCATGGCCCATGACCCATTGTATCTAATCATTAGACTTTACGCAGATTCCAGCGGACAACTGGTTGGAAGTCGCTCGGAAGCCGTTTTTGCAAACAAAGTCGAACTCAATCTGTTGTCATCTTTTGTCTCGAGACTCAAAGTTCGAATGGTACCCTATACAAACGGCTGCTGGTTATCGCACGACAGGTTACTCCCCGTGCTCACGCCCAGAAGCTTCGCGTACCGGGTGTAATACCCGATACGATCCGGGCCCCCCAATTTGTTCGAACGTCCGGGCCCGCACTCCAGCCCCCCGTTGATAATGTTTGTCACGACACCAAACCCGGGGAGGCGGTTCGCGGCCGCGTCCGCGGCGCTCGGGGACCATCCCCCGGTCATGACAGCGTGGCACGAGGGCTTATTCCCTGCGGGGGTCATCCAGAAGTAGATGGCGGTCTTCCACGCGGTGACCGGGTTGGTGAGAACGGCCCCCGGGTTGTTGAGGCCGTCGAAGCCGATGGCGTTGCCGGCTGGGATGTAGTTGTAGTTCCTGATGAAAGGGGTCGGAGGTGCTTAAGCAATCACTGGCTTGCTGGTTATATTCGTGGCGACGAAAGCTTTGTTATTCGTGTGCTTTTAAAACGAGGGAAAGCTCCGGATGAGCGCAGTCCGCTCTGAACCGAAGACGGGGATGCCGGTCTTGTCTGGGAAGAGAAGAGCTCTCCCTAGCTAGAAGAATGACGGGTTCGGCGCCGAATCGTGCAGTCAAAGAAATGGATCATTGGTTCCGATCTAGAAGAGGCAGATCGACAGCAGACCAGCGTACAAGAAAATCGAAGGAAGTTATCCGACTTGGACTCTCGGGTTGCCTGAGCCATCATTGAGCGGTGCTTACTCGCGCCAGGTCCTCGCAAAATACTGCTTGTTTTTGATTGCCTGCTGCTATGAAACGGAACCGTACTGAGCGATTACCTCAAGCTTCAGCGCACCGCCATGTGAGCGCCCGCACGGGCAGATGTCTTAGTAACGGCTCCTTAGATTCTTTGTGGGAACAAACCTTGTGGTGTGCTCTTTTCTTGTTCATGCAGCTTTGAGGGTGAACGTACCAACTGTCCCCCTTCTTCTGAAACGTCACTAGAACGGCTTACCAGAACACGTACGTCAGGGGAGATATGATGGGGGATCGTTTATAGTGGTCGGCTTCAGCTCATTGCGAGCAGACTGCCAATATAAGTCAAAGAAGGAAGCTTAAAAAGTTGCTGACCGTAGCTAGTTTAGTCTGCGACCTTATAGCGTCAACCAACCTGACTGACTTTTTAAAGTCCCCCCCCTTTCTACCGTTGGCAGGTAGCTTCAAGTTTGAGAGAAAAGAATTTGTCTGAACCCCGTCTAATACGTGTCTGAAATGAATTGGCCGTGTACTGTCTAGCATGTCTAACGGACGGACGGACGGACCGACGATGCGCAGGAACTTCGACGGAGTTCAGACATGTCTGAAAGGTGTCCGAAAGGTGTCCGAAGGCTGTCTGATCCGTTTGGCACATCATCATTGACGACCACAGCTACGGTATTGACTTTGTTGACAAATTGACGTGCTCCCCAAGTCCGGCGGCGATTTATTGACAATATTGAAGAATGCTTACAGTGTGACTCAAGAGAGCTGCATCTCACCAGGACAGCTGGATCGGGCCCCGGCCGTGATAGGTCTGCCCTGGGGCGCACGGGTAGCTGGCGCTCGCTTGGCAGTAGAGGTCGGGGTTCGATTCCTCGTCGAAGCAGAGGCCCCACGCGTAGGGGCCGTCGGGGGCCGTGGCCCACCCGCCTGCACGAGGGAGCGACACGTGGCTTTGCCCTGTTCTCCATGACGTCACAGCAAATTTTGGCTTTTAACTAGGCGGATAGCAGACCGAGTCTTAGGTTATCGGACAAATAACCCAGCTTTGACCTTGTTCCGGGGCTGGTTAGAGCCCAAGTCTGGTTGCTGGACATTGAACCATTCTCTGATCTGCCATAAACGGCCTCTACCCATCCTTTGTTCAGAGCCAAAAAGTCCCATATCATAGTTGCGTCAGTGGTCGAATCTGAGGGCCTACATGCGGAAGGCCTGTCCAAAGCGATTCGTGAGCTGGAACACCGCGTGTCGCATCAAATGCCCAGAGTCTCCAATCTGTACGTTCGTGTCTAATGGAGCTAGCAACATCCTACACTTAGAGCGGAGCAGACTTTCAAGGTGATATACGTCCTTAAGGGTACGTATATTTTGCAGAGATTTGTCATCCGAATATGAAAACGTTTCACGGTCGACTTGCGCTGAGTTCGACAGCCCAGCACAGCAAATCGTGGCATCGAAGTAGTGAACCTGCTGTGAAGCAGCGAGTCCTTCCTGCTCGAACACAACTCCAGAGAATCAGGTTCCAATGTTGCCAGTAGAATCCAGCTTTTCGAGTGACGGCCGCCAAACGGAGGACGGTCGGTTAAAAGAAGGACCCAGGACTTGGGACTGCACAGCATGCTTCTGCCTCCAGTCCCCCTTTCCAGCCTGCACTATAACCACCCGCCTGTTACAGTAACTTCCTCCATGGAAACCGGAAGATGCTATCGTACGTTCTAGTTTCCTTCTATGCAAGTTCCATCTAGAACCCTACTTATAGAACGTCCGCTTTCTGAGCAATTTCCTGTTATCAGAGCGGATCACTGGAAATAGGGGGCTGGGTGTTTGGATTAGTATGGCGCGACTCACCGGTCGTCTCATGAGAGATCTGGCCCATGAATGCGGCTATCTCCTGCTTGTTCACGGCGGCCGAAGCGGAGCTCGTGCCAAAGCCGGGGAACGCGCTCGCTGCCGTCACGAACGCGTTGTATGTGTAGAAGTTGGGGTGCTGGCAGCCGCCGTCATTCGTGTGCAGGAAGAACTGTGAGAAGTCCGTTGGAGTGAAGTAGGCACCGATGGGACTACCTGCGGAACGACGCATGACTCAAGCCACATGACTGTTTCCCGTCTTTTCTAGTCAATAAACAGCAGATGAAGCCGTAGGGATCAGCGAAGGGCACACGTTTTGGCACTCCAATCAGGCATGAAGCTTCGGCAGCTATAAGCGTGCGCCGGTTTTCTCGAGCTCGAGTAAGGTCCCACTGCTCTCCAAGGCAAACGACCAATGCCACAGAGTTTTGCATGACTTTGACTGGTAGGGAAATTCGTGCGTGAGGGTCGAATGTCTTTCAGTCCGGCAGACAAAAATGGTTTGAAGGTCCGCCAACCAAAAGATCGCTTCCATTTCTGGGGACGAAAGTTCCGTGATGCTCTGCGCAAGAGAAGCAAAAGGGACGAACCACAGCTACTCGCTGGTTCCTCGTAGCCAACCTCCACTGAAGTCATCAGACGGCGGCCATTCGGTCCAAGTGATGAAGGCGGGTAGTTCAAAGGCGTGATCAGATGGAGTTCGCTTTATGTAAGCCGCCTGAGTCTTGTCTCAAAAACCCTGACCGTTGACCTATGCAGGCTCATCTAATAGATCCCTGATGAGAAGTTCAAACTCTGATTACAGTAAAATTGTTGTTTCGGTGAGCAAGCTGAATGGCAAATAATCTGGAAACACAAAATAACCTCGGCTCCTCTTCAATGTATCCATGACCTCCGCTTTCTGTAGGACTACAGGCACAATGATCGGAAGAAGAAAAAACTATGCGTGCCACCACGTTTCTGATTGAGCAACGAGAGTTTCATCTTCAAGACCATAGTCCGTCCAAACCAGACCTGTGTTAAGTTAACGTAACTGTTTGGCTGAAGCGCAGGGCTGCAGCAAAAATGGCGGCCCCCTTTCAATTTCACGCTTTCCTAGGCTTGCCTGAGGAAGTTGGGGCCGGGGTGGGCGCCTTGGTGGTCGGAGCAGGAG